CGCTCTTTTCTTCGAACCATAAGGGACATGCCTAATGCGGCGTATGCTTCCCCGCCACTTTGCCCATCTTTTGTTTTCCAGCTGAGTGATAAAAGATGCATCCGTACGCGTCACCAGTGATCCTCCCACTATTCGAAACTGCTCAAGATGTTAAAAATTTTGGTGTAGGCTGTACGTCCTGGTCGCCAAAAGTGAAGCGCTTCTTATCGTTCAGTTCACCACAACCCGAAGCTACATATCCTCTCATCACTGCGTGCACTGCCCTGAGTTTGCGACACACGGATTCCTTGCTATCACCTCTGACAACAGCAGAGAGGTCATTTGCATAGGACCGGACGCGCAAGTGCTGCATAGTTAAACTGTCAGAAGTTTCTACAACACATGTGACGAGACTGTTCAGCATAACCATCGAGATAGGATCACCCTGTACAAGGCCGTTGTAACTCCACCACCATGTTCCTAAAGCACCATGTAACCTGAACGCTCTTCTCATATCATCATATAATCCCCGCACAACACGGAGTATTTTCACATGGCACCCTCGGAGACGCATAGTTTCGAGAGCAATCTCAAGAGGAACTAAATCAAAAGCTTTACGACAGTCGTAGCTTACGCCGGCAACGTGCTGTAACTCCGAATAACCAGTACTTCAACATCAACCAAAGTGTCGTCTTTGGGTATAAGGGAAGCGTAGGCATCCATCAGTTGTGAAGGCCATTTGCCAGTTTCTTCGACATAGTTCAATATGAGCGCAAGATCATAGGGTACCACCATGCCAATATAGTGATAGACGAAGGTTGCCAGTTGTCAACGGACGCCGAACTCGGCGTTGTGGCCTTAGCTGCGTCAACAAGGTCACATCCGGATAACTTATCCAAAGACATTGTAGACGAACGCATGTTCTTGCCGAAGTGCTCGGAAAAAGCCTCAACGTCTAGTTTCTTGTCTTTAAACTTGTTGAAAATTGGAAGCCACTCCGACAAATTTTTTTGAGTTGTTCTGTACGATCAACTGTGTAGGCACCACCTGCAGTCTTCATCGGAAGCGTCTCCACCTTGGCCTGCCCCTGAACCCACTTGTAGCCTTGCTTTTCAGGAGATTGCAACCTAGCTTTCCATGCCTTCAACCGTTGTTTGTGGCTTTCAGTTTTTGCTCTGTTGTACTCACTCTCCAGAAGTGTCTGCACTGGTTAAGCCTTTCTGCCGTCATGTCTTGCTGTACTATCTCAAGAAATGTTGGAGCAAATGTACCACTAGCCCTCTCGGCGAACTTCCTCACATGCTTGTAGGTAACTTCTGCTCTGTAACCCCAGACTTTCATCTTAATAAGTTCGTCCACCTGCCTTAAGGCCTTTGCCACTTGTCTACATCTGCACCTGCCGTGCCCTCGGGCGGGTATACTGTCAGCCTCCTAAGGGATGTTTTTCCTACACCAGAACCGCAACCTCCTTTAACGAGGGGAATTTTGTTAAACCAACCTTCGGCATTCTTCACCCATCGTTTGTAAGCCTCGTCGATCTTTTTCTCAAGAAGACACCGTCTGATACGCTCATCCGTTGCTATATGTGGCGGTACGTAGTCATGAGGAGGATTGACATGGTCATCTCTAGCACCTATACGCTTTGACATATACCAGTATTGACACGCCAGTGGAACCCGCAAGCTTGTATCCAACATACGACGGTCATCTTTGTTGACGCCTTCTACCAGCTGATAGTGAAAGACTGGCGATGAGGCAGTATGATTCACAAAAGCCAAGTCAATGCGTGCACCATTTCCTTGCAGAGAAGTCGGCCGATCATCAAAACCTCCAATACCATACCAAGCAGAATCCACCCAGCGGGATTTTCGGAATGAATCAAAAACATCTGGCGCATCTTCCACCGTGAGATTAGCATCACCACAGAACACGGTGGCAACGTCACCACGCAGTATGGAATCTTCATGTATAGCACGCAGCGACTGTTTGTTGTACTCCTTTTTTGCAGGTTCCCATCTTGCGCCAGATTTAGCGTACAAAATGTGAACGACGATAGATCTCTTTGCTGTACTCCTGACAATCTGAACGCATAAGAGACGAGCATCATCATAGAATTGTCGACATTTACTAGAAAAAAGTAACCTCTTTCACTGCCCACGCAGAGGACTTCTTATACGTGAAACCCACTCCTGCAAAACCGCGATCACCAACTGGAACGCCAAAAAGAACGGAATATTCTTTCAACTCACGCGCGAAGGACCGTTGTGTGTATGCATTAGCATGTCTCTCTGTAATGGCCAGAAAGTTGGCCGTGCTTTCAGCCAAAAATTCCGACCGACCTGTTTTCTGTAAGCCTGCAACGTTACACACCCGAAGATGAACCATAGAATCACCCAACCTTCCAGCGTTGCCATGCAGACTATGCATTAGCTTGATTCTCCCCTTAGGGGATATGCAAAACTAAATTCTGTGAAATTGTTGCTCACCACCCTGCGATTTACTTCTTGGCATCCGGCGTCTCACCGGATTTTCCTTCTGGGGGCCTCTTTGTCGCTGCTTTGATTGGCGAGGTCGGTCGATTTTGTACTTTAGCCAGTTTTTCCAGAAAAGACTGCTGTCCTTTGCGAGCTCACTGCTTGCTTTTGCCTGTGCTCGGATCGTCTTTGCAGAGCTACCTAGCTGCTGCATTGAGAGCTTTAAATTGTATTGCCCTAGGCTGGTCATAGCAACGAAAATGCGCAGCTGCATCCTTGATGACAAAAGTTGATGTAGGCCTTGCAGTCCTGCCAACATAGGGACACCTGAAACCTTCCATCTTTGTACTGTATTACCATATTGCAACTGGTTGGCCTGCGTAAATTGTAAGAGCGCCTCTTCATTCCGAAAACGGATTGCCCATCGTCCCTGAGCACCTTTCTCAACCAATCCCAGAGCACTGGACTGCTCAGCCATGGATAGCGCGTCTTCAAGAGAGACGCTGTCTTCCAACCAAAACAATTCAGTTCCCACGTCGATTTCAGAAATGCGTCTCTTGATAAAAAGGCCATTCCGACCACTTTTGGATAGCAAAACGTCCTCAAAAACATTGTGAACGTGAAATAGAAAAGACCCATCTCCACGCGACAACACTGAATCAAAGGCGTTCTCATCCACGAATTGTTCGAAGTGGGTGACCAAAATTCCAGCGGGATGTGGTCCATGTGCCCAACCACGGTGCACACTCATTTTTGCAACCATCTTTGTCATAGTAAAGCCAACTTGTACCTCATCTCCTATAGGTTGCATAGCCACTGGCGCTGAGAATCCCAGCTGTACGAGAGCCATCGTTCAACATCAACATGCTTTCTTGTGCCACCAGCCGCAACTACATCATATGTACACTTCACACAGGACCGAGGGTAACCAACAGGATCCCAAAAGTTTGTGCTTGTTGGAGTAATAGCGCACGCAGCAGCTAGACTCCAGTCCTGCACCGTTCAACCAACCCCCTGACGATCAAAAACAACTGGACGGGAAGAAGATGAAGAAGCAGGTTCATCACGATCCCGCGACCGCACTTCACAGTGAGACAGCGGCGTCTTGCCTACCACTCGCTTAGCGAGGGAAACCTTGTTTGCGCCAGTACATTTACTTCGAGTCAGGTTCGCGACACGATCCTTCCATCTCCATCGCCGATCACATCTCAAGCGTAACAACCAGCCTTCATCAGGAGATCCGATCTGTTTGCCTATTTTGCGGTTCCATTGCCATACGTGTCCCCCAGTGTTATACTTCTCATTAAGCTCGTGCTCGAGGCGGTCTAGCCTTGATTCGGCCATATTGCGTCCTTCTTGTTGAAGAATAGGCCCATTCGAATTTGTGCAGGGTAGGCGTGTAATCTTGAGTCTAACGTGTTTGAGCATACTGGTGAATTTGCCGCGTCGCATACACCAAATACCTATTCCCGACGCACGCGCAGACAAGAGGCGCCCGTTCTCCTCTAACTGGTCGGAACGAATCACTGGCCCTTGGCCGCCCTGGTCCTCCTCATGGCCTGGCTCAACAAGATCAATCCCGGCGTTCCACTGCTTTATGTGGTGCTGCCAAACCTCCACCAGGAAAGTTTGTATTGCTTTGACGTCACCATCAGTGAGCCGACTCTCCTGAGGAATAACTGCAGCATACTTCACACAAGTGGGGAGGTCATCAACCGAGCACGACAACTGATCAAGAAGAAGAGTTCTCTTTTGTTGGTACTGCTCACAATGCCACGACACGTGTTCCACCGATTCTCGGTCCAAACCACAACGACAAAGGCGAGGTTCACCTTGTTTTCTATGGCGGGCAACACGATCAGGAGTTAACAAGCCCCCAGCAAAGATCGACCGCAACACTCCAAGTTTTGCCCCAGCGTCCAAAACAACACGAACATCATCTGGCATGTCAGAATGACCGCCGTCAGCAATAACCTGGAGCTCATCATACCATTTCACGGTACGTCGCCGGTCGGTGGGCCGCACCAGCGTAGTGATGACTCCGCTCTCTTGACACGCGTGCCCACAAATGGGATCTCCACGTCTCACGCAAGCCATGGAGCCATTCGTCTTCACAGAAATTGTTGCGTTGAAGAAGGCGACGAATGTGTGGAGCAAGCACCGAACTATCCGCAAGCGCGCGCAACCGGGCAGTTGGCCCATCAACCATACATTGGGGCGCAAGTGCAAATCTTCTAGATAATTCCGAAGCAACCACAGGGTCGCGCATGAATCGCATCACTGTGCGCAAGCCATCATTGATAGAACCAAACTCAGGGTCAAGTTGAATAGGCACCAAGAGAGCCATTGTCACCAACGGGCTGCAGGAATAGAAATCAGTTTTCCACAGAGCTCTCATGATTTCAGACCTAACTTTTTTCAAGTAGTCAACGTTCTCGACCAACCCGTGAGTACCCTGACCGAAGGTAGCCTGGCTCTGTATGGCCAACATCATGCAGACTCGCTGTTTCCACCCTAGCGGGACGTGTCTAATTCGTCGAATGCTACCTTTCCACTTGTCCCAACGTTTTTGTTCCAGCTGTGTAACAAAGGAAGCATCATCTCGAACCACCAATGAGCCACCGACAATTCGAAAATCTTCCAGGTGTTGAAAACCAGGGCGCAACAAACCATTGACATGCTCATCACCGAAGGTAAAGCACTTACGGTCGTTGAGTTCCCCACAGCCAGAAGCTACATATCCGCGGACGACGGCACGCACAGCCCGAAGCCCATTCTTCACTTCTTGCAATGTTTCCCCTCGAATCACAGCTGAGAGGTCATCTGCGTAAGTAGAAATGCGCAGGGCAGGGTGAGGCAGGCGCGCAGACGCTTCCACAACGCAAGCCACCAAGGAGTTCAGAATGACCATAGAGATGGGGTCACCTTGCACCAATCCATTATAGGAACACCGCCAATTACCAACAGGACTAGGGAGACGAAAAACACGGTGGAGACCATTATACAAACCATGTAAGGCGGAGAGAATACGGGGGCGGCATCCTCTGCGGCGCATGATCTCGAGCGCGATTTCAATGGGGACCAAATCAAAGGCTTTACGGCAATCATAGGATACCCCCGCCACATACTGAAAATTTGTAAAGCCCTTGCTTTCCAGGTCCAGCGCAATTTGCACAGCAAGAGTTTCTGCACTCTTGCCTTTCCGGCAGCCAAACACTGCTTCACTGACCAAACTCTCCTGCCATTGCAACAAGGCAATAAATCTTGCTTTGGCATAAAGCCGGTAAATTGTAGAAAGTACAGTGATAGGGCGAAAGTCCGTTGCGCTCACATCATCAGCGTGTTCATCCTTGGGGATGAGCGAGGTGTAGGAGGAAAGCAAATCTTGCGGCCACTCACCTAGTTTCTCAATCTTGTTCAATATCATGGCCACGTCCTCAAAAAGCATAGGGAACCAAACCGCCAAGGCGGTGATGGCGGAAGGGCGCCAACCATCTAAGGAGGCAGCACTTGGGGAGGTAGCTCTGGCAGCGTTAACCAAATCAGCACCAGTTAACAAGGACAGCGACATAGGAGAAGATTTAAGAAACTGACCAATGTGTGTAGTGAAAGATGCAACATCAGCCTTGTTCACCCTTGTGAAAAATGGGCAGCCATTCCGTCAAAATCTCCTCCAACTGAACAAAGCGGTCAACCGTGTAACCCCCAGAACGAGTCTTCATAGGAGCGGGGGTTTGTGCCTTTTCACCTTGGATCCATTTGTAACACTGCCGCTCAGATGACTGCAGCCTTGACTTCCACGCTTTCAAGCGTGCCTGCTCACTTTGTCGCTTGGCCCGACTATACTCTTCTTCTAAGACATGCTGCAAAACAAGGAGAGAGTCACGCGAAAGAACTCCAACAAGTGCTTCTTGCATTGCATCAGCAGACGGACCTTGCGCCTCGCGGGCAAATTTGCGAATGCCCGGTAGCCCCATTGTCGCATTCTGCCTAACTTGTGGGCTTGTCGCAGAGCTTTAGCAACACGACGACAACAAACAGTATCCGCACACTCGCAGATCCTTCAGGAGGGAAAACGGTAAGCTTTCTGAAAACTGCACGACCTCGACCAAGTCCGGAATCAAAACCAGAGTTCTGAAAGGTGCTCTGCTCCTCGGCACCATGCCCGGTAGGCACCGTCAATGTCTGTTTTGAGAAGACACTTCCTCATCACCAAGTCCGTGGCCGCATGCGGCGGCCGATAGTCATCTGGGGGACACTGAAAACCCTGGGAAGAATCAATCTTTCTGGGCATATACCACGTCTGCGCTGCACATGGCAAAGCCAGTGACAGTTGAACCAAGCAATGATCATTAGGGTTCACTCCTTCACTCAAGTCATAACCTCTGGCAAGGGCGCCGGCCGTGTGGTTCAAAAGCGCAATGTCAATGCGGGCGCCCTGACCCTTCAAAGACGTAGGTCGACAATCAAAACCATGCTGACCAAAACATGCGGAATCAACCCAGCGATCACCACGGTAACGATCAAAAGGGGCAGGACAATCCCCCGACGCGTGCCAATGCATATACTCAGAAGTCGTTTGAACGGGGACTGCGAGAACATGCTGTCCTTTTTTGTCATCCGGTTTGTGATCGGGGCTTTGCGGGAGTTGCTTTCATGTATCGCAAGTCAGCAGCTTGGGCTGTGCGAAGTGTGGCATTTCTCCACAAGCCTTGTGAACGTTTCTATGCCGATAGCAGGCTGATGTGTGTCCAACTTTTCCGAGTTGATGAACGACGTTCCGTGATTGTGTATGTGCTTTATGGAAAGTCGGGCGGTCGATGTGAGCCAGAAAAGAAAAAGTACAATGCGCACTTGCCTGAGGCAGTCCATGAAGACTCTCTACGCAGCGGCGATGTAGCTACCAACGTCTGTGGTGACATGAATATCACCATGCCAGGAAGTGTGAAGTTAACGATGACAAATACTCAACTCGACCATTCTTCTGCAAACCTGCCACATTACAAAGAGAAAATTCCACCACGTCTTCATCTCCATGGTTACCATGAAGGGCATGCATCTTCTTATTGCGTCCCGTACGGGAGATACAAGCAAAATAATATGGAAAGTGAAACCTGCTGGCGCGTTCAAACCAGTCATCGCTTGGGAGCGGGGGTCTCCCCCGTGTGGCCATCATTCTGGCGCTTCGCGGCTTCCGCGGCTCGTGGGGAGCCTTTGGGGGAATCAACGAGAATGGGAATTTTCTCTGGTGCGGCCGCTGCCATTTTTTGCAAAAAGGCTTGTTGAGCTTGTGCCCGTGCACCAAGGTCAAGTCCACTACTACCATCGCTTCCACCGCCACACGAAGTGGGCTGTCCCAAATACCGAAAGCGAGCGGGATCTCGGCAACCTTCCAACCCAACGAGCACAACATTTGGGAGAGACCTTGAACTCCTGCCTGTAGTGGCACCCCCGTAACCTTCCACCTCTGCAAACTAGCATCGAAGTCGTACTTGTTAGACTTAGCAAAGGTAGTGAGGTCCTCAACACTGCGAAAACGTAAAGCCAGCCTACCCTTGTTTCCTTTCTCCACCACTCCCAAAGCCCCTGCGTTTTCCGCAACAAGCAAGGCATCGTTAAGGCTGATCTCAGGGTCAAGCCAAAGAAGCTCATGTCCCGCTTCTGGTTCTGAACTGTGCCTCCTAAGAAAAATGCCCTGCTTCCCGCTTTTGGAAAGCATGTCTCTTCAAGGACATTGTGGACCAGAAACAGGAAAGAGCCATCTTCACGAGGGACAACCGCATCAAAGGCACGTTCATCGACAAACTGTTTCAAGTGGTTAGTGAGAACACCACCTGGGTGTGGGCCATGAGACCAACCCCTCCAAGGACTCAATTTAGCAACCATGCGGATCATAGTGAAGCCAACCTTCACCTCTTCCCCCGCCGGCTTCATGGCAACATGTTCTGCGAACCCCAATTGGACTAACCATCGATCCACCTCAACGTGTTTGCGCAATCCCCGGGTCGAAGCGACATCATAAGTGCATCGCGCCCTTGAACGCGGGTAAGCCATCATTCCAATGTCATCTGGTTCTTGAACTACTAAGATTGCAACCGGCTTTGAGGAGTAGCCTACGCGTTCCAGGAAAGCCTCCTTGGGGGCAATCGCAATTCCTCCAGTCGAGTCTGGGTGTTTCCATTCCCTGATAGTTTGGTTCCATTGTTCCTGGAGTAGTTTGGGTTGCGCCCGAGTTTTTGCAGCCTCTGGGAGAGCCTCACGCATGGTTCGTGCAAATTCAATCTCCGGGTCAACTTGCACGCTCATTCGTCCCTTGCCTTTGCCCTTATTGCCTCCACCGTTGCCCATAATAGCATGTCGCATTTTGTTCATGGTTTTGCGGGATACGCTCCATGAAGACACAAAGGCATCAGACTCTCGATGCCATATATCATCACTGCATCGCACACAAGGATGTAAGAATTGACATGACAAAGTATCGCGCTGAGGTTTACTCAAAGGAAACCACATCGCACACGATAATAGAACCTGCGCCCTCAAGGCATGTGAACTCTCCTCGAAAGAAGAAGGCGACCACCGACACACCACCGATGCCTGACTCGCCTGCAGCATGGTCACCCCAGACATCGATATAGGTGCTGCAGAACCATCAGGATCCCAAAAGTTGTGGCTTTGGAGGAGGATCCGCCCAGAAGGCAAAACCTCCCTGGTGTGGCTCTCATCCTTCTCCACGTCGCCAATCCAGACTGGGATCACCATGCTGGCCTGAAGAGGATGAAGCCGCGGGGTTCGGGTGATTCACATTCGGGTTGTCAGGTTCTTCAAAGTAGCCAAAGGCTGTACGCGGTGTAGTTTTTGAGATTAATCGTCTGGTGGGTTGGAATTTCGCATGAGCAGTTTTACTAGTAGGGTTCTGCATGCGTGGCGGATGGCCCAATGGGGCTTCGGATGGGAGATGATCTATGGTGGGTCTACATTTGGATCTCTTGAGATTATTATTGCGGTGCTTCCAAGACCATTCTCGGCCACATCTGGAACATGATATTCGGCCTTCGTCTTCCCGACCGGAGACTTTACCAATCTGTTTGCGTCGGTGTTATATTGTTGGAGTGATGCTTCGAGATCAGCTAAACGTGCTTGGGGGCGGTGGAAACCCTCTTGCGTAAGCCAGTGGCTGGGCGCAAGGCTGGCTTGTTGACATGGCTTTCCTGAAATTTGAAGGCGCACATGTCTTAGCCTAGCAACGTACAGGCCACATTTTTTGCACCAAACACCGGGGTTATTGATTCGCGGAGCTATTTGATGGCCGTTGGATACATATTCCGTTGTGTCTTGCTGAGAAATTGGAACACACTCGGCTTCTGGGGGGGTCTCAAGATTTTGCTTCTGATGATATGCTTGGATATTACGCTGCCAAATGGTGACTAGGGTTTCTTGAACCTGGACTACATGCTCAACTGGGATAAGAGATCCGGCAGGTAAGATAGTGGCATAGCGAAAGCAGGTGGGGAAGCTGTCTCCGTTATGTCCTAAGCTACTTAAGCACGGGTCCCGAACATCTGCACGCAGCGGGCAGCACCATGAGACATGTAAGACCGTAGGGATACCTCCACACGCACATTTGGGAATATCTCGATGTTTACTTGACTTCTTCTGTGAGCAAACCGCCACACAGGAGGCGTCTGAGAACTCCCAATTTCATTGCCAGCGCTTCTGTGAATTTGGCCTCGAGGGTGGCATCCCATTGTTGGTATAATGATAGGGTTTTGGGAAAATCACAACCTGCTGCTAGGTCTGCGAAGTGCTGTGGTCTATCGCGCGCTGCACGATGAATGAGCTCGTTTCGCCATATCATGCGAAGTTCAAGGCCCCACTGCTCGGGGTTGCGGACACCTTGCACAAGCTGATTTATGATGTGGTTGAAAATGGGCTGCTGCACTTGTATTGCCTGCAAGCGGTGGATGGGACCATCGTGTCCTGGCACAAAAGGTTGGGGGAACCTTTGCTGCATGAGTGCACGATAACTTGGTGACTTAGAACAGCGCAACACAGTATACAGGCCACGGTAGATGAACGCGAATAATGGATCGAGATGAGGTTTGACGAGGAGCACGAAGGTTAGGTTGGGATTCATAGTGTAGAAACTAGTTGACCAGAAACATCGCATGATATCCGACCGGATGCGCTTAAGCCTGTCTAACTCAACACCAATCATGTGGGTACCCTGGCCGTAAGTGGCCTGCGCTTGGGTTGCCAACAGATATTTTGCTTTATCGCGCCAAGGGTTGGGCGCATGGCGCATGTTTTTACGGCGCGGGCCCATGTATTAATTCTAGATGACTCTACTTCACTTTCCTTGGCTTGTGCATCTTCACTGAGAATGGACGCTCCCACTAGGCGAAAAGCAGTGTGGTGTGTGTAGTTGGGATCCACTTGATTTTTAAGGCATGCGTTCCCAAAAGTGTGAGTTTTCTTCTGGGAGATCTCACCAAAACCTGTAGATTCTAGGGCGCGGACAATTTGATTAAAATGCCGGACACTGTTGAGAAGGCTGTCTGGGGTATGGCTAACGGCAGTTCCACTGAGGTCATCAGCGTAAGCACGGCCAATAATTTCGGGACAACATGCTTGAGAGACTTCCAGGACTGTTGCTACAAGGCTATTGAGGCCGATCATGCTTATTGCGCCACTGGTCCACCAAGAGGAGATGGACCCTGTGAGTCTGAACACTCTACGAAGCTGTTTATAGAGACCTTGCAGGGGTATGAGTATGCAAGCATGCATACCGCGATGCTCCAAGGCTGCGAAGAGTAGCGATTCTGGGATCAGGTCGAAGGCTTTGCGAAAATCAAAACAAATTCCGCCGGCAACGAGGGAAGTATCAAATTTGGCTTCTTCTACTAATTGCATGGCTGTGGCGAGGCCCATAGTCTCTGCACCACGGGAAAGTCTACACCTCCACATCTCTTGGGGAGCCCAACTTTCCTGCCAGGCGAGGCAGACCTGGAACCGGAAAGAACTCCACAAACGGTAGACTGCTGACAGGACACTTATTGGCCGGTAATCGGTAGGAAGGGGTGATTCATCGAGGTCTGCTTTGGGAATTAGCGATACATAGGCTGATGCCAGTGCGGTCGGCCACACTCCATGTTTCTCGATACGCCGAAGAATTTGCGCGAGTTCTGTAAAAAGTGAGGGGCGCCAGAGCGCTAACGCTTGCAACGCTTGCGGCCTCCACTGATTGAGGCTGCATGAGCTGGGCTTGATTGCTTTAGCTGGCTGCACTAACAGAGCACCGGTTAAGGGTCGTGGTGCCATTTCACGCCTGCATAATGGCATCCAACTGGGCCTGCTCATTGGTTGTGGTAGTGCCGTCCGGTGGAGTCATTGTCTGGTCCTCAACGGGTCGTGTCTTTCGCGCCCATTGGTGAGTATGTTTTTCGCTGTTGATGAGTTTCTTTTTCCACGCCTGGATGCGGGCATATTGTTCGGCTGTGAGGGCCCGCTGCATAGCAGCGCGAAGGAATTTGAGTACAACCTGTACATTGTCGAAGGTGAGGGGTTGATCGAGAGAGTGCTTGAGTTCCGCCCATTGATTATGGTCAAGGCTGGGCTTAACAGCTCTGATATTGTTTCCATTGGTTTGCTTTGCTGCGCGTGTCCAAACGCACACGAACGGCGCAACTCCTCAGCACGGGCCAGCGCTTGGGAAAGTCGCTTGGTCTTGAGTGACTGGACTGTACCGTGGACAACTTTAGGGAACAGTACCTGCTTATGGAGTCTTATGTGGCCCCGGCGGCTTCCCGTGTCATAGGTCACTTGGTCCTCAAGAGTTTGTGGAATTTGCTTGAGGCAACGCTCCGCTTTTTGACTCCAGTAATGCCAGGCTGTATCTAAGTTATGTTGGCTGAGCAGCTTGGTGGGGTTATAGTGCGAGGGTTCAACGGGTTCGATATAATCTGCTGGTGGCCTATCATAGGTGAGATTAGACCCAGTGGTGTAGACTTTCTTAGAGTGCTGTGCGTGCAGTGGGATACGCAAGGCAGTTTGAACTTCACTGTGGTCTTTCTTATTCAACCCTGGCAACACGTGGTAGCTATTGCAAAAGGTGCTCGCTTGTTGATTCATAAGAATGAGGTCAATGCGGGAGCTAGCCCCTTTATGGCAAGTCGCGCCACTAGCCGTGGTTGCTGATTGCCAACAGTACGCATCGTACAGAAATCCCGCTCGCAAATAAGTTTGCATGCGTTCAGATTCACTGGGTTGAATGTTGAAATCGCCGATGAGACATGCAATTTGAGGTCCACGCATGGCTAAGTCTGCGCATATGGCTTTGAACATAGCATGAAACTGCTTCTTTTTGTCCCCATCGGAACGGGCACCAGAAAAACCATAAATGCCATAGATTAGAAGAAAAGGCCGGTTGCCTTTGCCACGATAGGCCTGGACTAAGATTAATCGGCCTTGAGTGTGAAAAGGATTACAGTCGGGGCGAAGGAAATTCTGCGCTTTAACGGCCCGCACTTTGCGCCTGCGTGCTATGCACATGACGCCTGCACGAGATGTCTCAGGGACGGGCGTGCCCCAAATTAAGTGGAAATGGCCTGTATCAATGGCTAGAGATTTTTGAAGTTTTTCACTGCAATGGGTTTCCGTGAGAATGCAAATGTCGAAATCACGGTCTAGAATTTGTTGCCATCTACCGATAGCGGATAAGCCATTACTTTTATATGTGGATATGCGCGCCTGGTCATCATGATGCACGGTGTTCCCATTAAGAGCGCGCATCAAGGCATTGTAAGTACGGCTGGCAAAACCGCTGGGCAATGGACTGCAGGTGTTACGAGAGAGGTTAGTTGATATTGGAACATGAAACCACTGCCTAGGGGTGTGATCAGACCTATCTACAGTTGCTTTGCACGCTGGACACTGTGACAGCTCGGGCGGCTGCGCTGAGTACCTAAGGGTGAAACACGGCGTGGATCTGCACAGGGGTGACAACACATTGGCTACATCTGGCGGCTTTGCTGACCGGGCGGTGTCTCGCCAGTGCGGCCAGTCGCCTTTTGTTTGGACGCATCGGATCTGGGGCTTGCTGGCGCCGGTTGCACGGCAGTTTGCTTGGGCGAGGCTGCCTTGGCCGCCGCACTGCATTGCGAAGGGAATTTCTTCTGCTCAGCTGCCCGTTTGCTGGGCTGCAACAGTTGCTTTCTGGCCGTTTTGGATTCATCGGCTGCTGCCTTGCGAGCGATGGAATTAAGTGCCTTGAAACGAACCGTGCGTGGCTGCTCATCAACATTGTAATGAAAATTCTCAGCTATACCTTTTTTGGCACTGGTAAATACGGCGTGATCTGCATCCTGGTAGACCACCTCTTCGAGGTCCCATCCCAGGCTGTTCAAGAGGTTGCTGAGACCGACCAAGCCAGTGGAGGTGGGCAGCCCGGAGATCTTCCACCTTTGTAGATCCCAGTCTTTGTCATGGCCATGGGCCTTGGCGTACCTCGCCAAATCTCCGTAGTTTCTAAAACGCAAAGCTAGAATACCCTGTTGCCCCTTTTCCACGAGCCCCAGCACAGTGGATTCTGCGGCCGCTGATAGCGCGTCTGCCAATGCGGTCTTGCTGTCCAACCACAAAAAGCTCGAGAGGCTCCGTCTGACAGGACTGATGGACCTTAGTGAAAATGCCCTCAGTGCCACTAGCTCGCAACACTGTGTCGCAAAAATCAGAATGACACATGAAGGTAAAAGCGCTGTCCATACGTGCTTGGATCTCGGCATATGCTACGGATGGGATGACTTTGTCTAACCAACTGGCTAGCATTCCGGCCGGCGCACTCCCTTCCTGCCAACCACGATGGCCGGAACATTTGGCCTGCATCTTGGTCATGGTTATACCGACAACAAGTTCCTCCCCGGCCGGAGACATACGAACCTGGTCAGCAAAGCCTAGTTGCACCAAGAAGCGCTCCACTTGGATGTGGCGACGCTCTGCCCCTTCCGCGCAAACGCTATACGTGCACTTGACCTTGGACCTTGGATACCCTTTGAGGTGAAGCTCGTCGGGGCTCTGCACAACCAAAACTCCACAAGCTCTTGACGTGTAGCCTACTGCTGCAATCACCGTTGGCAATGCGTCACGGGGGCAAATAGCCACGCCTCCAGAGGAATCCAAACTTTGATGGTGTTTGACCGGAACTTCCCTCTTCTTGCAAGAGAGCAGGCTGGGCTCTGAGCTTGGCTGCTAAGGGAACTGCCGCCTGCATATTCTGCTGGAAGACAGCTTCTGGGTCTTCAGGCATCATGGCCTTGGCTTTGCCCTTACCGCCATTCTTTGCGCCTTTGCTCGCTGGAGGGCCATTCCCACACAAAGCATGGGCAAGGCGATTGCGGACTTTCCGCGACAGTGTCCACGAAAGGGCACGCAGGATTGAGTCAAGACATGGGGTGGTCACACATCTGCTAATTTCTGTATATGTCCTTGGCTGCAAACAGTCGGGCGATGTCCTGCTATGACAAACGGCCAATCCCAAAACCAGCAAGAAGACCAGTGGCAACAGTCCACCTTTGACCATGTCACGGATGCGATGATATCGTGATGGGCAACTTTGGGCACTCCTGATATGCTTTCGGCGACTAGCTTTGACTATGCGCGCCGGCCTCAGCCGATGCCGACGATGGCCTCTCCAGAACCATGTGACAAGACGCTCACTGAGATTCAGCGAATGACTCTGCGTGAAGCAAGCAAAAATTTGGAAAAGCCACAGCTCTGATAGAAATCAGACTGGATCCACGCATTGTGATTGCCAAAATGGCTCCTGGTTGTGAAACCGAAAAGGTGATACCTGGTGACATCTCAAGACGGCGCAAAAACACTGGGCAAACCACATCATGCACACTAGGCTCAAAAGAGCGTTGCATCCCAAGGCCGCGGCCTGTGACGTACACTGTCTCGCCACGTAACCACCACTCACCTCCGGCATGTACGTCAGGTGGTCACGTGTTGGCGCCGGAGAACCATCAGGATCCCAAAAGTAGTATGGGCTTGACTTAGCACCACAGCATTCCGCTGTGGTCCTGTCTGTCCATGCCCATTCACCCGATACCTGCACGAGGTAGGGATTTGGAGCTGCTAGCTGTCGGATTTGACGATTGCGGAAATTCTGGTGAAACTGAAACATGCAAAAACCTCGATAAGCTTGGAGCTTTCTTGCCTTCTAGCCTATATTTCGGTTTATTCCAGATAGTACTACATGGGGTGGGTTAGGAAAACGAATCTTGCTGCAAGACCCACTGAGGGGGCGTGAATGGCTGAGTAATCGGGTGGCAAATGGTCCTGGCAAAATTGTTACGCCGATGCATCCACGCCCATTCGCGATTGCAGCGTTTGCAATATATCTTGCCAAAGAGTTTGTCGTTCTGTTTGTCCTTACCAAACTGCTTATTCCATACCATTTGATGGCCACCCTTATTGTGAACCGAGTGCAGTTGGAATTCAGCAGCTTCAATCCTATTCTTATTCATCATCGCACCTGGGGAGGACAGCCACTTATCTTTGGGCAAGTTGGAGTACTTACAGGGTCTGTTGGTAATTTTAAGGCGCTGGTGTTTGAGATTGGCAGTTTGCTTGCCACACTTTACGCAAAACACGCCCTTGTTGGGCAGCAATTTCAAAACATGGCCTTTGCAGGGTACTGGCAAAGACTTTTCAGTGTCAGAGAGAGCAGGCAAAGAGCTTGGAAAATGCGGAATTGCCTCTGTTGTGACAACCTGAAAACCTTCAGGATCTTCATGCCATTCTTGGATGTGCCTTTGCCATATAGTTACTAAAGTTGCCTGGATTATCTCCAAGGACTGCTTATCAATGGATAATGAGTGAGGAACAATGGTGCAGTTAACAAAACATGCTGGCAAACGATTGAGCGGCTTGGGAAGAACTGCCAAGGCTTTAGCCCGCAAATCTTTGAACTTCACACTTCACACACTCCCAAGAAATATGCACAATACTGGGTTCAGCTACACCACATGAACATACAGTTTTTACCAAGAGTAAACGCAAAACCTTCATGCGAACCTTAGGGCCCTTTTCAATGTCGACCGGATCAAGACCCATGGCATCAGCTTCTCGGGCCCATTTCGACAAGAGAGCAGTGGTGAGTTGCTTGTTTACTCCCTGTGATGTTCCCCCAAAGTGCTGACCTCGGTCTCGACAAAGGAGCTGCCAAGTATGCTTTCGGAAATCGTCTCTTAAATCATGTTGCCATTTATCCGGAGTGAGAGTGTTATTAATAAGGTGAGAATAGGTTGAAGCAAAAATTGGATGCGGTGTAATCTGAAGAAATCTCTTATAAGGACCATCTATGATAGGTTCTTGCAGTTGGGAGAGATCATGGTCCAATTGTTGTCGTGCTGCAGCTGAAGGAAACATGCGAAGCATCAATTGGAATGGAGTGCAACGCAGAGCAAATTCAGGCTCGAGAGTTGGAGGTGTCAACAGGCAAAACATAGCTTTTGGCAAAGCCGAATAATGGTTAGTGCAGAGCAAAGCTTTAGCCACTGAGGAACGCATGGCCCGTAGGGTTGTCAAGGGAATCTTCAGTTCCCCCCAAGTCAACTGTGAAGTGTAAGTCTGCATTATTCGCACCTTCGCAAACCAGCCTTTGGGAATATGGCGAATCTTTGAGTTGGTCTGCTGCCACTTGGTCTGGCGTTGCTGCTCCAATTTTAATACTACCCCCTACGAGTCGAAACTGAGATTTGTGACTGGAGACGCCTGGAATGAGACCTTTGAGTTTGGAATTGCCGAAAGTGAAGGTTTTATCGCTGTTTATTTCCACTCCGGATTTTTGAACAAAGGTCGCAGCATCAGCATGAGCGTCCTGAACATTCGTTTTGAGGGTTTGAAGGGATTCTGCTACTGACACGATGGACATATCATCCGCGTATGACCTCCCCGTAGAGATATCATGCTTAGATTCACCTTTTTCTAGCCATGCTGTAACCATGGAAACTAAAAGGAGCGTGCTTAAAGGATCCCCTTGCACCAAACCATTACTGGGCGCAAAAGAGTCAGTAAAACAACCATCTATGCTGAAGTACTTTAAGTGATTGGAATAAAAAGCACTGATAGCATCCACTAATATGTTCGGAGCTCCTCGAAAGCGGAAAATCTGTAAGCAAAGAGAGATTGGAACACTATCGAAGCCTTTCTTGAGGTCGTAGCTTAAACCTCCTACAAAATTGCCGTTTTGCAGTGCGTTAGCGATTTGTTGGGCGACTTCAATGGCTAGGATGTCCACAGGTTTGGATCCTTTGCCACCGAAAGTGTTAGAATTTTTCCAAGCAGGGTACCATGACTGGATGGGTTGGGAATGCTGAGTTTTTGACCAGAGAGGATACACACTAGACAAAATAGTTATAGGGCGATATTGCGACGGTCCAGGGATGGAGCCATCATCCAGCTTGAGTAGAAAGACAACTGCCCCCTTGGTCATGTGAGTTGGCCAAACTGAAGCTTCTTCAAGAACTTTAAACAAAGAGGCGAGATGGCGCATTAAAGATGGGGACCAGGCAGCCAAAAGCTTGAGTTCGCCAGGCAGAAAATGATCTAAGCCAGCTGCACTATTCTTGGGAGTTTTCAGAATATGACAAATATCCTGCGCAGTGATGGGCGGAAGTTCCATATTCGGCAGGAAACGCACGCAGGGTAGGTCCTCCTTGTTTGTGCATGGAGTAAATGTCTTTCCACACCTGGACCTGTGAAGTTCGCGTCAAACGAGCTTGATAATTACAAGTGAAACCATCGGAAGTCTGTGACAGCTTGTCGTGAGTGGTTTTAGGTTTCTTCTTCGTCCACTTAAAGATATTTCGATCGGAATTTTGCAAAGAATGCTTCCAGCATTTCAAACGCTGAGAGCGATCCTGAGAAGTATTCTCTTTGAGCAATTCCAACACGAATTGGGCCAAAAACTCACACATGGGCTGGGTTGGTGTTTCTTGAAAATGTGGAGTTAACTTTTGAGAAATATCATTAGGCAACTGTCGGGAGATTTTGAGAAATTTATTCCATGTACGATCAAATCGTACACCGGTGGACATACAACTAAGCTCTTTTAGTTGGCAGTGTAATCGCCAAAGTCTCCTACTAGTCATGGTCGAAGCGTGACCCATGACAACTTTAGGATGCCTACGCTGCTCATGAAACTGGACTTGACCTTTGCCATCAGGATCCTCTCAGCTTCATAAGACCACAAAGTGAAAGCCCTAGTCACATCTTGCTGTTGAAGAGGCTGTGCGAAGGAATTCGAAAGCAAGGGTTCATATAGCCTGTCGCCTGACTCGGGAAAACTCAACTCAGTGTAAACCTGCCCCTGTCTCAATGTCTTACCTTTCTGGCTACATGTCGGCGCAATCATTTTTGCTGACACACATGAATGATCTTTGAAAGGATGAACTCGCTTTATTTCGAAATCGAAACATTGATCATACAAGCGACGGAAAACAAACAAATGATCAATCTTCGACCCTTGCCCCTGATGGCAAGTATTGCGACTCTGCATTTGCTCATCAGCACACTGCCGTAAATCGAACCAAATCCCGGAATGGAGCAGATCTGATAACAGCTTACTGTCAGATAGCTCTAGGTTAATATCTCCGGTGAAAATAGCAGGCACCTGTCCACGAGCGATCAAGTCGCGACTGAGGGCCGAAACTAAATTATGCATATATGTTTTTTTGACTCGATCAGAGCGACCTCCAGACTGACCATAGCAAGCATACACAAAAATCGACGCGCCACCATTACCAAGCCACAATTGAGCTACAAGGGCACGACCATCGTGACAAAAAGAAACACATTCATTGTCTTGTGCCCATTGCAAGGACTTGGCTGCCCAAAAGGAAGAACGCTTGGCGAATACCGCAACCCCTGCAAAGTGACGGTCATTTGGCGCAAAACCCCAAAGACAATAATAGTCAGGAAATTTATCAGCCTCAGCAGCGAGCATATGGGACTGCAAGTGTGTTTCTGTAAGTACTAAAATATCTAGGTCAAGCGCTGCAATGCTTTGACGTTTGGGCTTGTCCTGAAGACCACCACAATTTAAACAACCAAAAGTTAAGGAGTGGCCAGGAACAGTGTGATGTCTGGAAGACCAAGTACGATGCTTGCCGGCAGTATTACCATTTAGAGTATGCTGTAACTTACTCAGCAATCTGCGACTTTTGCACCACACAGAGCAAGTTAAGATTCCTTGCGAATCTTGCTGTCAGGAGTGAGACCAGTTGCTTGAGTGGCCGATCTTTTATCAGCATCTTTTGTTGGTGAAACAGGCGCTTTGGCCGCAGCTTTGGGAGGAACTTTGACGGACCTTTCCAAGAAGAGGCGACGATTTTCCAACTGCTGTATCGAACGAGAAGGTGCTCGAAATTCGGAGGACGCAGTTGCCCGATTCTTATTGTACTCTTTTGCCAGCAACTTGGCCTTGGAGTTCAAGGCTTTCCACTTAATCTGCCTTGCAAACCCCGCATGGTTGAAGTATACCGGGTCACGCCGACCAATCTTCTCTGCTATAAATACGAAATGTCCTTCAGTGACATAAAGCACGTCCGGATTGACCCAATCTTGTGAGTGTAGAAAAGTCAGAGCACCGGCAATTCCTAAAGAAACAAGTGTTCCAGCGAATTTCCATCTGCCGAAAAGTGCATTGCTCTGAATGCTGTGCGTAGTAGCGAAGTTCTCCAATGTTGTCAGGTCAGCAAATCTTAAGGCAAAACGGCCTTCAACGGCCGAGCTCTTCTGAACCACCCCAAAAACAGAGTCATCCTTTGCAAGTTGCAAAGATTCTTCAAGACTATATTCAGGAGGTAGCCAAAGCAAAAGCAGTTCATTGTCTTCATCTGCACTGCTTTTCCGATGCTTGTAGAAAACGCCGTTCTTTCCAGACGCCTTCAAAAGAACGTTGCAGTAGTCCTCGTGGGCTAAGAAAGCCACTGAGCCTTCTTCGCGTGGCATGAGCTCTGAGAAAGCCATTTCTGGTATTTCCTTGGCTAATTCAGCAGCCGCGACGGACGCGGCCTGACGGCCATCCGAAGCGAGGAGGGAGTTTCGCAATCAGTGGCTTCATGGTCATTGCCAAATCAACGAGAGCTCCCTGCGTAATCTGCATCACATGATCTCCATATCCAATTTGAACCAAAAATCTGGAAACCGTGACTTCTGTTCGAGACACAGCGGAGTTCATGGCCAAGATCCGACAGGCCACACGCTGCCGTGGAAAACCATTAAGTCCAAGTTCGTCTGGTTCCATAGTGGTGAGGATACCAACCGGAGCAGCAGTCCACCCCACCCTGCGAATAATCTCTGGAACCATGTGAGTTGGTGCAAGACATACCCCTCCTTTTCCATCAATCAATTGTGGAGAACAAATCCGGATGTTCCAATCCTCTTGGATCAAGACACTTTGAGATCGCAGAAGTGCCGCTTGAGGTAAGGCTCTTCAAACTTCAGCAGCTAGGTCCAAGCTGTCAATCTCTGGAAAGTGTGTTGTCGTTCGGTCTGGCGCAGCGAAAATATTGGATGCGTTGGAAGCTGCCGCAGGGTTGCTGGCTTTACCTTTCTCGCCTTTGCCTTGGCCTTTCTTGCCTCCAGGCCCATTGCCATGAAGAGAGTGCATCTGACGGTTCCTGTCTCCTGGACAAGTTCCAAGAAGAAGCAGTGAACCACGGCATAAAACATGTCATATAGAGCTTCAAGAGCCCTCTGCGTGCACGAAGTATGTTCATTTGGTGAAGACGTCTATTTCGACATTGCCGAACGCGGCGCTTGCCCACTTTGCGGGCGCGAGATGGCATTCTGGCACCTTCACGCTTTCTTGCAAAAGGATAAGAAAAGAAGGGCAGCTCCCTATAAAAACGAGGGTTTGAATTCTGAAAATCAGTGAAACTACGAAAGAAGAGCCAGCAAATGGACAAACTGCGTGCTGTCATCACATGGACGAGTATCACAAGCATGGAGCCGAAGTCTGGTTGGACAAAACCATGCATACACAAATCATGAAGACCGCGTACAACAAATCCATCAGGATATCCTCAGACATGCACTGACTCGCCTCGCTGGACACAATCACCAGGAAAGTTTGTACTGCCCTAATTTCACCATCAGTGAGCCGACTGTTAAGTGGAACAACGGCAGCATACTTCACACAAGTGGGAAGGTCGTCGGGCGAGCAAGACAGTTGATCAAGCAGCATCAGTCTCCGTTCCTGATACTGTGCACAGCGCCAAGACACATGCTCGACAGATTTCTGTCCAATCCACATCTGCAAGTACGAGGCTCACCTTGCTTTCTATGCCGAGCAACAGGATCAGGAGTCATCAAACCACCTGCAAAGATCGTCCGAAGCACACCAAGCTTAGCCCGGGCGTCAACAACTCGGACATCATCGGATGATTCAGAATGACCGCCGTCAGCAAGAAACTGGAGTTCATTATACCAGGTCATAGTTCTTAGCGCTGACTCCGCTCTCGAGCAACATGCGACCACAACTGATTCCTCCAGGTCTCACGCAAGCTGTGAAGCCACTCATCTTCACATATTTCATGGTTGAACCAAAAAGTTGAGGGCGTGTAGTCATCAGGGCCCTGGAATCTTTTGTCAACGTCCAAGTGTGAACCAGCAAATCCCGCAATTCTTGATGGCGCGTCACTTGTCGACGAGCAGTGCGGAAAGGCCATATCAATTTGAGTTGGCAAGGGTCAATGTTGTATCTCTTGCGGCACAAAGTAAACAACACGTCGAGTGACTCTATTCGTCTTTTGGACCCAAGGACACCAGCAACGGCGGTGCGGCATGCTCTTGCGACTGCGGTTCCCTTTGGAACAACCTTTCGGTCCTGATTTCGGACGAGCTTGCTGCTGCGTTGCACGGTATGCTGCCCCCCCCCCATGGATCCGCCGGCTGCGATGAGGAGGAGGAACGCTTCGAGAGTCTAGAGGATCTGCTCCCTCCTACGTGTCTTGTTCTCTTCAAGGGTCTCCTTCTGCTTGGCAAGTTTGCGCTGCACACGGTCGTCAGGCGAATCAACCTTCGCGAGCAACACCTTTTCCCCGCTGTCAAGAATCACTCTTGTCATCGAAGGTGCTTCATCTGCTTTCAGCATCCACTGAGCTTTGGCGCCAGAAACCGTGGATCGGTACGGGATCACTTTCCAAGGTTTCCAGCCGCTACTCTCGATGGTCAGTCGAGGACATCACTGCAACGATCTTTGTTCCACTCCAATGAGCTGGAAAGCCGGAGGCCATCCATCGCTCTTTGCCAATCACACCTGACCTGCATTGGCCGAAGTGATCCTAGTATTGCCTTCAGTCAAGACAGATCTAGCTTGTCCTGAATGGTCTTTGTTGGTGATGAAACCCTGTATATCAAGTTGTTCCGACAATCCCTCAAATGCTCCCCAACGATCTGCGACCAGCCTTGCGGATTGTACTTTTCGAAGGAGTGCAGAAGCATGACCTTTGCGATGTCACCAGGAGTCTTGACAGTTGGAGGTAGAGTCGACACAAATTCTTTCCCCAAATTGATACCTACGATTGGTTTCAAGAACTGCCTCGATGTTGCTGGATCTTCTAGAGACAGGATGTACTGGAAAGTGGCTCCAACCAATGCAAGGTTCACCTTCTGAAGGAGGGCTTGCAAGTCTGCTCCTAGAGTACCTGGGATGAGAAGACATAAACATTCGCCTCCCTTCACTTTTGGGCTTGTTTTCCAAGAAAATGCTATTGCAAAAGTATATTCCCTCGGCTCCACCGGTGATTTCATCAGCACGGATGCTCATGAGCATCGCTTCAGTTGGCATCTTCAACTCATCGGCGTGAAGCAAGCGAATTCCTGGGGCTCCAGGCGCTGATTCCCATTTGCTATGAGAACTAGAAGGAGGGTTCCCGTTGTAAGCATGCTGGCGCCGGTTGCGCTGTTTGCGGTCAACAAACCACACACCTGAGAAAAAGGGTTGCCACACAAATCCAATGGCAACAAAGAAAGAAAGCAACTGCCAGCATCTGCGCTTGAAACTGCATGAGTGCTTTCGACTGCGCCGTCTGCGCTGCTTATATCGTCTCCCTTTGATAAAGTGGCATCGAAACGGTTTTCTGGTGCGGGTGCAACCGAGGGAAGCAAGGAGCACAGTGCCACTCAAGATCGTCATGACAAAGAAAGACCAGGCACACCATAAGAAGGCCATGGTGTGCAGAGGATAACATAGCAAGAGCATCGTGAGGAAGCTCAACATGACCAGGCTCCAGAGGCCATACGGTGGATGACATTCCGCCTCAGGAGGCTCGCCCCGGAAACGAACAAAAGAACAACAGGAGAAGCGTCGTGCTCCCGGATTAGCTCGGTATATAACCAACAAAAGGTGGTACAAGATGTGGATCTCTTTGAGGCGCCTCACGTACTGTGATGTCTCGGGCTGCCTCTTACCAGAACGCGTTTTGCGGGGCCAGGAGCCTTGGCTTGCGAAGAAGCCTTCGACACACGACTTGCTCCAGCATGCGAGGTCATTTGGCTCTTTGCAACAGCGTTCACTGCCTCGAACCGCAGGCGGGAGCCCAGTCCACGACAAGCAGAGTGCTTTCGCAAGTTGGCCAAACTCCAGACATGGGCGGTCGCCTGACATAATTAACAAGAGACCAAAAAGGAAAGCGAATTTAAAAGCCCCGGTTGCCCCGGAGACGGCGCCGTGGACGCCGTAGTTGTCATACGGTGTGCGTTTAACAAGCTGAACACTGGTAGCTTCGCAGCACTAAAAAAACAGTCGCCTTTTGTTGCAAATCATAGTGTCTCGGGAGTGATATATCCCATTGTCGCGAGCATAGAAATTCGGCCATGCTT